AACAAACAGTATGTAAGAGGCAGCATATATTATCATTATGGTTTTTTTTTTTTGGGGGGGGGGGGAACATGGGGTCTTTCTTGTAAATCCATATCAACAACATTCAATTCTGTCTCTTTAAAAAAAATCCCATGTAAGCTTGTTGTGATCCAATAACTTTTGACATGAAAGCCTTGAGGATACTGTCAAAGAGTAATGACAATCGTCTGCAAACAATATCTTCCTTTTCAACAATCTAACAAATTAAACCTCCGATTCAATTTTCTAATCCATTTCATCTCTCATTGTTCCTCTCACCATGTCAATCTCCATTACACCCAATTTCTGACAAATTGGTGATACCATGTGGATATAGTTTGCACAGTAGCAACGGCAATGGCTTCTAGTCATATTGAATTTGGACTTGAATATTTGTTCCTTATGTTAGTGCCGCAAGGTGTATGAGAAGACACAGAATAAATTCCAACTTTCTAAAAAATTTGCTATTGTTGCAAAAAACTTGAGCAAAAAGATATGTTTTAACTTAAAGAACAGTATCTAAACCATGTAAACATCCATAACAAATCAAATGTAAACTGTATTTTAAAAAAAGCATGATGCAGGTGACAACTATGATAAATAAATTTGAAGTTATCAGACTTGTTTCTGTTCAAGTTTTGATGATAAATAGTGGGTGACAATGATTGAAATATTTTGCTTCTACTAGTACCGTTTACTTTTCCGTTTTTGTCATCTCTGTTTGACTTTTTGATTGATGATTCCACACAAATGACACTGCAGTTGTAAATATACACAGGATGAACAGGACTAATAACATGTTCTCATTACTTTTGGCACTTAAATAAGTAACTACTAAACTTGTCGTTAATGACTTTTGATCGTGCCCTTGAACTAAACATGAAAGTTGAAGATATTACCTGTAGGCGAAGTGTGACAGGAATTCCTACACACCGCCTAATCATCATTAAAATGAGAAAATACCGATTACAAGTGGCATAGATCATTCCTAAGTAGCTCTTCTCACCTTAACCTAGTGAGTTAATGGGAAATTAAGGGAAATGATTAATGTTCAGGTGAGAAAAGAACCAGAAACTGTTCTGATTGTAATCAACATTCTTTTGAATTGTATTCAATAAAGGCAGCTAAGAATAACAAATTTAGTTTTATTGCTTGTGGATTTCGTTAAGGCAAATATCTTGCAAAAGCACAAAAATGGGACAAATAGTACAAGTGGTGTAAAAAGTATTTTAAAAAATACAAAAAAGGAAAAGAAAAAAAAGTGCACCCCAAAACAGCTCTTATTTGAGGCTGAAAAGCCATCAATCAAAATCATGAAAGCAATTTGTTGACTTTGACATTCCCTGCAACAATACCTAAACAAGCAGCAAATTACGATCCCACTAAAACATGACAGGTTGTAGAACCCAAGCTGGAAATTGATCACTTTGTTATTCACTTTGCTTTACCCCCGAAGTGACTGAACTGTAAGGAAGTTTTGTAACTATATATATCTTTTGAAGATGTACATACCAGTCTCTTTTGAAGATGTACATACCAGTCTGCTAATACTGAATGGGATATTTACGATCAGTTGTGGACTGAAATATGAAGGGCAGTTTTTCTGTTGTTATGCCATTGTGACCTCCGCTTGTCACTGACCCATTGTTAGGGGAATGCTCATAAAAATATGACTGACTGTCATACTGAATTATTGACTGCTGTGCAAAGTAGTCTCCTAGTAAGGTTTCACCCTGTCTTTGCTTTTCTTTCTCTTCTCTCCTCTTCTCCCTCCCTCTCTCTTATTTTTCATAAATTTTCATGATCTAAATTGGCGTAGGTATTGGCCCAAATATGACCAATAGTCTGTAAAGATAGGAAGAGAGTGAGAGGATGAAAAACAGAAAGAGAGAAGGAAACAAATGTTGGCTTTAGATATTGAAGGGAAGATAAAAATTCCATAGTATCACAATAAGTTGCCAAAGAAACATAAAAGGTGTGATTTACATGAATGATGATGCTCACAATGAACCAGTTTCTCAGTTGGGTCCCATGTTTATTATATTTCGCTGCCTGCCTGGCCTGCTGCCTGTCATGTTTTCAAAGAGATCGTGAAGGAATGCACCCTGGCTACTCGACCTCTACAGGCCCTCTGTCCTAGCTTCTTAACCTAATATTTGCCAAGACTTGAATGTGATCAGAGCTATATACTCTGTCCTATACTTAGCTGCATTCACATAAAGTGCAATACACTCCAGCTTGCGTTGGAAGGACAGTTGAACTCTGTCATGTGTCTATTCCACAAGATGCGACATACAGATGGCTCATTGAGACGTGTCCCTGATTTTTGTCAATTTAATTTCATAAAATTTAGAGGAAACTCTATAAATGTAAAGATTGCAGTAATGTTCCTCAAATGAACATTCCATTCTGTTTACTATTTTCATCCGAAATTGTACAGGTAGTTCATGCATACAATTGATTTATGTGACAAAAATGTCTACATTGAATAGATGCTTTTTTTTTTATAATGAACACTGTTCGTCTGTATTTTGAATGAACAGTTACCGGTACATGTATTCTAAAGAATAAAAAGTATTTCTCACACAAAAATTGGGTCATCTTTGATGTACTTGGTTTTTACAAACTACAATCAAAGCTTTTTTCCAGTTTAAGCTGGCTGTTGCAGGCACAAGTTAGGATCAACTATGTAGTGACTGTTCAACATAAGTTTGAAAAGGGTACATTCAAGTCAGCTTTATATGAAACTTTAGTTGCTTTTGTTGAAGAAAAAACACATGGTCTCTGGAGAAACAATGGATGCTTGGAGTGCCATTCTTCAATAAAACTGTCAAGAATAATTTCAACAGCCTTCCTTTTAACAAGAAGTAACATTGTCTTGAACTTCACATAAGTGACTCACACATTCACAGCTATGAACATTAATGGTTCAAAATGGCAGATATTTCACTCGATTTCAGATTTCATGTACTGGTAATATTTAATGCCTTCCTGACATGAAGATGCATGCCATTCCATCATGTAATGAAATTTGTCCCTGTGGAAAAATTTAATGTGATCATTTTCTATTGAAGTTTCCAACCTTAACTCTAGAAGTGCTGTATCCTTCCCAAGCCATGATTATTATTATACCCTCCATCACCCTTGCTTGAAATTAAAATGTCAAACTAAAGTAGGTTGATAGGGGCTCAGTTTCCATGAACCAGACATGCCCTCTGCCTAAGTTCTAACCACTTTGTATGAGGAGGAGTCTGTTGAGAGCCAGAAGGGCATTATGAGTTAACACCCTTGACGCTCTCAACAGATGATATATGTACCAAAGTTATGAATGCAATATTTCAATACTAAATAGAGATGTAGAATTGTTATCAGGGACAGGGAGGGATAGCAGAGGGTAGCAATGGAAAGGTAGTGCGATGTGAGGTTACACAGCATTTCAACCTTCGTGGTGTCAAAAAGGTCTCAATATTGTATGGAAAAACTTACATTTCATAAGACAAGATTTCAATCAGAGTGCTTATTTACTGGTCATCTTGATATGTTCCACTATATATATATATTCCAGATCCCATTTCAATTATGAGTAGAGAGTAAGATTTTTCTTGAACAAAATATTAGATGTAATATATGGCAGTGAAAGGGGAATCAGTTCTAGAACCTCTATACCCCCCCCCCCCCCACAAAAACCTACAATGTTTCACGCAATCTGGAAATAAATGAATGCATGGTAAAAAGAAGTGAGAAAAAAAAATAGAAATAAATAAGAGAAGTGTTTTACAATAGCTATAGAGGGTGAGCGTAGAGAGGACAGGGTTCTTGAAGGATCTATGGTCTAGAGGCATGCAGGCGCAGGAAAAGGCACATGTCTCCAAGGCCTGAGGACCTGTCACGTTGCCTTTGATAGTTTCCTGTCGTTAAAACAAATTAAATTGTTCAGGAAGACTCAAGTCCCTAGCTCTTTCCATCCGCAACTAGCGCTCACCTTCGCCAAGTCCTTTCTAACAGCATGAACTACCTACATGAAATCAAACATGTATATATGCCTATGTACGCGCTATGGAGATAACTTGATGTGGTAGTGAGGTGGTTGTTGCATTGCAGTATGATTATGATTCTATCTTGGAGAATTTCTGTTGATTCCTAAATTTCAAAAGGAATCCTACATGAATAACTGCTGCATTTCTCAAGAAAAACAAGTGTAATTAACATCTTGGGTGCTACAATTTCCATATTGTTAATTGTAATATTACTTCAGCAATCAAATTAAAAAGTAATTGAAAAATACAATTCTTCTTATGCCCTTGTGCCAGGCACAGAAATCAAATCTATGATGTACATTGTGAATGAATCAAAGCATTGCAGGACACTCTTGGTAAAGTTGAAGAAACAATCAGGAAATCACAAGTATTTCTGATGATTAAAAATCTCCATTGAGACCTGGGAATGAGTCACAAAAATTGCTACAAATCATATTTCATTACTTAACATTCTAAGATCCACTCAAACATGTGAATGAATAAATGAATGAGTGAGTGAGAGAGTGAAATTTCCTTCTAGCAATGTACTTTGCTCAGTCTTATCAACTTTCAGTCCCTTCCCTAGACACAATTACCAGTACCCCAAGATTGAGAGTGAGGCCAGAATGGCCACAGACAGTGTCTGCAGAATTGATTATCCTCTTAAATGAGTTGAATGTCATTCTCAGTTCAAGGGTAAGAAGGGAGAAAGTAGTCAGTGTCCTTTTTTTTTATTGTACTATTAAGGCAAGAAGTCATTCTTTGTGCGACATTCGCAGTATTCAAACAAAGTTGATGGGAATGAAAATGCTGGAGGGGGGGGGGGGGGGGTTGTAGGGTAACACCAACAAATGTCAAAGACATTGAGGCATTGATGGTGTGCTTTGTCTTTCCTTTTTATTGATACTTCTTTTTTTTGTATACTTGATACAATTATTCTATGTTTCTTATGTGTTGTATTTTCAGTTATCAGAGGGAAAGTAATAGCAGAGGCATTTGTACCGAACGGTGGCGTCAAATCCTCCAAGGCACCTGTCCCTACGCTACCCCCACCAACCACCACAAAGAGGCCACCATTCAAGTTCCCTGACTTCAGAGAGCGCCAGTGGTGGGAGCCAGTCCTCCGTCGGCCACACCCAAGGAATCCTCCCCCAAGGCAACCTGAGTGGAGGAATCCCTTCTTGGGCTTCCAGAACCCCCCTCCAATGGTCCTTGCTGATGAAGCCCCGCCTCCAGAACCCCAGCACCTTGAGGAACCTGAGCTACCTCTCATGGTAGCTGACCAGCCAAGCCAAGCCTATCATCATGGGGCATACAAGGAGACATTCCCATGGCAATACAGGAGGAGATACACGTTGAAGGTGGACAAGGTTTACAAGGGAGAGGAGATGATTTCAGTCAAGTCAACAGTCAATGTCTTTACGGAACCAGAAGAAAGCATGTGTGGAAAACAACTCAAAATGGATACAAGATACCTTATTGCTGGTAAGTTACAAGAAATATCTATTTTTTCACACAAAAGAAATGGATTAATATCTCACTGGCTATGCCAGGCTGACATGACCCCAAAAATAAATGATGGTCATTTGGGGGGTAATGAAATTCTTTGTTTTGTCTGTTGTCAGTCTGGTGTTGGTCTCTTTGTGGCATCCAATTTGCTTATAGAGAAAGTGGTATGAAGTGTAAGATGGGACAGAAATATATCATTACTGATATGTTTAGCATCCAGGGGTGAAGAGATTTTGCTTGGACAGAGAAAATTGCTTTTCTCGAAATAAAAGTAAACTCCTTCAGTGTCTTCAAGAAATAACATGTCTCCTATGACTGCTTTTTTAAGAAGTTACAGGTTAACTATACATATCTGAGTGTGTGTACATACAAATTCATATATACAATCAAGAATGCATTTTGGTTGTACAGGTATTTGTATCTTTTTGTTGGCCGCTATCCAAGAAATAACTCCCATTCCTTGAAAGGTGTGAGAGTCCGTTCAGGAGGACTTACAAACAAACTATCATGTAAACACATGATGATATGAATACTCCTTATACAGTGTGTAAACATTCAACGAGCTAGGACCCTTGGGCCTATATACCATTTCCCCATTTAGAAAATGATTCAACTCTATCTTTATTTCTTGATTTTTTTGTCTTCCCTTTTTTTACTAAGCAACAACAAAAAGTAATTACTTCTTGCTGTCTTTAACCACATCTTGTTGGTTCATATTTTTTGCTTTGTCACATACAACCTTTAACTGGAAATCTGCAATTTCGCTTCAGTCGACTAAGTCAAGGATGTGAATGTACCCATGTTGAATCAAATTGGATATGAACTCTTGAACCACCTAAGATCTGAAAATGCAGAATTAGGTCTTACTCCCATCTTCCCTCACCTAGCTTCTTTGCGTTAGGGTGTGGGCGTAGGTGTCAAGTAGAGAATTGAACCCTGTGAAAATTTGCCAGAAAGTCTCCACCCAGTAGCACATTTGATTATTTTCCCTGTAAACAACCTGTACTTGAGGATGACTCTGCATGAAGTTGGAGGCATGTGAACCTCGCAAATAAGAGAGGAAAACATTTAAAATATGCCTAGAAATAAATATCTGTGGTATATAATGAATATACATGTATATGCCAATGAGTGTTGATCATTTCAGTACATTCTAAATATTACCTTTTTGATCACCACATTCTGAATATTCAGGGATGAACAGATTAAAATTTAAGTTGAAAAAAAGAAAAGAATTTATGATGGATTAAAATTGTGGCACAGCCTAAACCAAAAGGGTTTTTAGTATATTTTAAAATAATTTGTATTCTAAACAGTTCTTGCATTGATATACATTTATTTTTAATGGCAGATTTGTAACTTATATACATGTCTAATTTATGATATCATTATTTTGTGTACAAGATTTTTTTCAAAGGTATTTTTTCTAATGAAGGGTTCTATTTTACACTTTTAAAATTCTCAAATATTTTAATTAAGGGATTCTACTCCATGGAGAAAAAATAAGAAAATACACACATGTTCTGTTTTTCAGGTTCGCTCCTACATGTACAACAGATACTATGAGAAAGCTTTGAAATATTCAAGATTTTCAATCAATTTGTGATGGATTCTAACAAATTGTTACCTGACTGTATCTGAAAAAGGCCACAGATGATCTAATGAAACCTTTAAAAGCAATCCAATTCCTAAGACTTCACTAATTAGTTGTGGTAGGATAAGCCCCCCTATTTATAGACTTCATTCACTTGTTCAGCTTCCGTTCACTTATGTGATCTGAGCGTGGAATGTTGATCGCAGTGCAGGTGAAACTGGACTAGTTGATGGAGTCCAACCCTTCAAATTAAGAGTCTAATCTAAGCCTTTCATTCAAGAATATATGAATTTAAGAAGATAGACCAGAATGAAATGGATATTACGGAAGACCTAATTGTGCTATGAAAAGGTTTCAAATAAGTTCCAACAAGTTAATCCAGAGGCAACTTCATGCAATTCAAGAAGACCATGAAAGCACATTGCCTTATACTTATAGAACAGGGGGGAGCTAGGGTAGTAATTCCCCTTCCCTCTCTTAATCATAGTTGTACAAGTCATTAAAACTTTTGAAAAGAAATAATTCTGAAGTCTCCTTTTACAAATCTTTTCTAACAAGATTAGAATCCTGGCCATTTCAAGATTTAATTAATATGTACATTCCTTGAAGATTAACACCCACACAAAGTTCATATGATCCTTGTCAATCACCAAGTTTACTTTCTTGTTACACATCTTCATGTTATTTAAGAAATTATTATTATCATACAGTGAGCAAAACAAAGAAGCAACATTTTAACAGATCAGCAACAAAAGAATGATCACATATCTCGAAATCATTATATGGACACACTAGACCTAACACTTATCCTAAACAATACCTAGCTGCGACTTTAATCATAGCCCTATACCCAACTTAGAATAAACCCTAGAGTGAATGTCGTCAGAGCAAATGTTGGATCCCTTCATATAATATATCATAAACAAGGTAGAAAGGATATCAAGACAACACATCGGCCAAGGCAACCATTAGGAGGAAGGATAAGGATCCAAGAAAATGAACTTGACTTGACATTTAATGGCATCTAAAGAATGCGAAGGTATAAAGAGTCAGCTGTTGCCAGTCATTAAGGAGCTGCCATTGTTCTTAATACAGTTCGAACCCAAACTTCCTGTACTGTCATGTATATCTTGCCTTAGATGCCTTATAGATGATGTGTATGCATCTCATAATAGAATGTATCCCAAAATCATTGTCAAACATAATTTTTTCAGCTCTCATTCCCACGTCATAAAACACTATTAACTTGCAAAAATGAATGGAAAGAACTAAAAGAATACATATATTTTTCTCAGTGCAAATGGCTCGGCAATAGAAAAGGGTTTACATAATCGATACAAGGGTGCACATCCTCACATTCACCAAGCACATTCAAACAAATAATGCAATATTTGATTCATGATTCGCATTTTAAATCTTTCTGTGCTTGCTACATGCATGACTGTAGTATAATTAATTAAATGTTCCTAATATTTCTTCTACCTATAGCCAGTCATAAAATAGTGTGAAAATGGGATAAGGGGTATTTCATACGGTCAGGAATTGTCAAGATCTATGTATCTCAGGAGTACCCTCCAACAAGGAACTCTATGATTGATTCAAAATATACCTTTCAGCCAATAGTGACATTCCTTACTACCTCCACCAAATGTCCAAACTTGTCACTCAAGCTTGCAAACATTGGCTAGTCTTGGGTTAGTGTGAAAGGAACGAAAAATGGTAGGCGTTGCTGGTGCAGAAAAGAATTATCAATATTGTGATAACTCTGCAGCTTTGCACTGTACAAGGTGATGTGTTGACAAAAGGGTAGTGGCAGGCCGCTCTTGGGCAGGGTCACTCAAATACCAATTATGCCACAAAATACAAACAAAAAGGCACCAAAATGGCTTTGACTTTGAAGCAATACAATGTTCACTACATCTTTCTTTTTTCACAACCAGCCCTTTACTCATTTTTTAAAACACATTCTTCTCGGCATTCCCATGGACGTAGTTTATGTAAAAAGTCACTTGTACTGAGGGATAATTGTTAGCGAAAGTGCAGGGAGAATACTTGCACAATTGATTACACTCCTTGCACTTCTTTTATATCAAGAACATCTGGGACCATGTCAGCAGATTGATGGCCCAATTCATTAAAAGCAAAGTTAGATGCTGGACTTGAAGCCTTATAGATACATCCTTGATTTTACATTTATTTTTGTTTTGTTTATTTGAGACTAGTTTGTACATTTTGTATTGTATCCCAAAGACTATTTACATTGGATGGTAGTGAAACACTTGATTGACAACCACATCTCTCAGTTAGTGCTCCACTTCAACTTCCAGAATCCAGTGCTGTTTCAGTACATTGAACGAATTTGTGAACATTCAGTGTAACTATCATATTTTGCAACATTAAAAAAACTGAACTATTTTTCAGTGCACTGAGAACTGTTGTATTGAATGGTCATTACCTCTGCACTGTCATCAAATTGGCTAGGAGTATAGTCAAGACATCACGATCCTGACATGTCTTGCATTTGATGGAGAAAGAGACCCAGGGGTACTTGGGCTACAAACCACAGACACTATAGGGGCCATTGCTTAGCAGATGGGGGTTAAGAGGGGTACGTCACCACACCCTAGGAGGGGGCTCCTTTAGTCTGTGGCAACGTATATATATACGGGCTCAAGCAGAAAGGGTGCATATTTGGGCTACGGAGGGGGTCAAGATTATTGACTGGTCGCTTCTTGTTTATACTGAAGCAATAACAATTAAGTTGTTTACTATGAAAGGAAGTTATTTCCAAGTCACCTGGGCATCTCATCTGCCAAAGTGTCATCCTTAACTAAGATATCAAGTCAAACCCTGAAACAGTCAGAAGAGGGTGAAATAGGAGTCACTGTGTGTCATGACCTCTTATAAATCATCAATTTATTAAAATGAATTTGATTACAATGACTCTTCATCTCTCCCCCATCTCTCTCTCTCTCTCTCTTTTCTCTCTCTCTCTCTCTCTCTACCTCCCTCACTTTCTCTTCCATCTTTACCTATGCAGGTTATATTGTAGATGGGGAAATCTTCATAGGCCTGTGTGACTGGGTAGTTGAGAAGTCTAAGCTCACCAAGGATCAGAGGAGAGGACTCAGGCATACCTACAAGAAATATTGCGATGTCTGCAGAGTAAGTTCTCACTTCATGCATTATACAGACATTCGGGTTTATGGAAAGATTTTAAAAAGTGAGCTTTCTCATTCTTTTAATGTCACACCGCCAAACCGTCCCGTTTTTGGCCAATCTCGATAATATCATTTTTTGTTTGGTCCTTTATCGGTTCTGCGTTGATCTTGTTTGTGTGACTGAGGTATCAGAGCTGTACCTTATATTCAAACCAATGCAGTCAAACAGAGATCTTCTAATTGAATCCTCAAAATGTCTTTGAAAAACCACCATCACATGCACACTCTAAATGTCTCATTAACATTGAATTGTACAAGACTATATTTTGAAAAAGGGGGACATATCTGGGTGGTTTTCATGGTGCATGGATTGTTTCAAACAGATAATTAACTGTATTTTCTATATTTACATTTCTAATTTCTACAGCATCATCAAACCACAAATGACACAGATAGCATTGAGTGCACATACATGTATCTCTATGATGTTTAGACATACTGATCTGAATTAATGAATATAGTCTTGACCTAATCTCTGAATATAAGGAAGCATGAGGACCCAAATGGTGTCATGATATAGTTCCCAGTTCCTGAGGAGACCTCAAGGCTTAATTGACTTGGACATGGGGAAGGTTAGATGGGGAATGGAGTGACTTGAGATTTTCATTTCAGACAGAAAACTCAAATTTTTAGGTCCCTTATAGCTTTTTCATATCCCTTACATAGAATTATGAACTGTCAGTAAAAATGAGAAACTACATGTGGCCGATGTCGATAGCACTACTGAAACATCCATTGCTATATATGCACATCCCACCAAGAATTGTGTCAAAAACATCTTTCAAAACTGTGTACTGTCCTGCATCCTTACACTGCCAAAATAAATGAACAATAGACAAATATTACCATTTGACATATGCTGCATAACTTCAGCAGCTTATGTACGTCACAATATATCCCCCCCAAAAAACCAATCCTTCACATCTATTTGTAAAAGATTATATTTTCCAGGCGTGACAAATCAGCTAAACTTAGCTGAATAAAAGAAACAATTTGTCACTTTTTGTTCCCATTGAAAAGAAGCATTAGAGAAATACCCGGCATCAATACACAGACACCCACGAAATGGTGCAATACAACCAACACAATATGGCAGAAAGTACCTTGCCTCTTCTTGCATTCCACCGTTTGTGTGCTGACAGTATACAACCTGTCAAGCAAACAATTTTAATTCTTTAACATATTTTGTCCTTTAGAGTTAACAAAGTTTGAAAATAAACTGTCATAATACAGCAAAATAGGTTTGGGAATCTGATGCAAGGAGTATCCCTATTTGTTTTATTAATATACTAGCAGGACCCGTGGAAAATCCATGGGATTCTAGGGGAGGGGGCCAAATAGATAGATAGAGGCCTATGTGCTATCAATTTTTTTTTTTAGATTATCTTTATATAGAGAATTTTTATAATATATGCTGTTTGACCATGAATGGCGCATCGTAAAACAAACTATGTCAGATAGGATATCGATAATTACTATTTATTTGCATTATTATTGTTGTGATTTCAATGTAGTTTCATGAAAAGACTACATATGCAGAGGCTTGGATTATGATTATGTTGGCATTGTTCACAAAATGTGTATAATTATTTTCAAAGTAAAGATTTTACGCGAAAAATCGGACGGTTTGTGCACAAATTGACTCGACTGTGTGTGGGACTGTGAGCGTAGAATCCAGTGAAAGATTTTTTTTTCGGGGACTCGATCTATTTCAAATTTTGGGAAAATTTTTGGGGGCTACTTTTTTTAATCTTTCGGGGGCTCATTTTTCTTGGGCTAATTTTTCATTAATTCATTTAAAGATGCAGTTTGTTTAGTTTAGTAGCGTAGTGTTACGTAAAAAAAGGCGTACTTTCTGCGTCAAGTTTCTACGCCGAAAGTACGCGAATTTTGTTAAATATATTAAATTGTTTGCGTCCATCTTGCGTACTTTTTTGCGTCCCTCAGGGTATAGTAACGTAGGCCAGCAAACTCTCAGCTCAGCGTAGTTGATACGCAACTCTACTATGGACCCCACGCCAATTAGTGATCGACCTGCCAGTGTCACAAATAAGGCATTAAAAATATGCTCATCTGACCGTAATTAAATGCCTAAAACCCCCGAGCTTTCGGGGGTTCAGCCCTTTGTACCCGTGGACACCACGCCTGCACTCAAATCGCTTTGAGTTACCTGACCCCCCCCCCCATATTTTAAAAATTGATTTGATGCAAGAACTGTATCATACTAAAAGTATTATCATGTTTTTCAACGACCATGACGACCGTCTGATTTTCTTGTGAAAACTTTACTTTGAAAAATGATTATCGAAATTCAGTATACAACTATACATGGCCAGAATAATCACAATCCAAGCCCAGGTTTCATACATCTATTCACGAAACTATATTGAAATCGGGGCAATAATAGCAATTTCAAAGTGTTGTTTAGACTCTCCTCACACCACGGACAGACCTGGCTACTCCGGTCACCGCTACTCCACGCTCACACACTCAGCTCCGACAGCACCCCCGACAGCAGCGCTCAGCTGCCGTGGCAATACACTGTGGACTCAAGGCAGTTTGCAACTGAACTGTCACGTGAAGGCGTACTATCACAGATCTATTTGCGCTATTCTTGTTGTGATTTCGATGTAGTTTTCATGAAAAGACCAATAAAACAGAAGCTTGGGCTATGATTATGTTGGCATAGATCACAGAATTTGTATAATTATTTTCAGAGTAAAGATTTTACGTGAAAATAGGTCCATGGTTTGCGCCAGTTGTCGCAATCGCCTCGACTCGAATCGACTGTGGTGTGTGCATGTGTGTGACCTGAGAGCGTGTAATACACGTACACTGTGGGCGCCTGGCCTACAAAGCATATCCTATAGAAAGACGCATAGCACGGGTAAGCTCAACCCGTTGAGGATACATATTGGCTACATCCCCTCACCCGGGTGAGTCGTCTGTTGATGTGTATTTCTCTTACATGCTACAAAGCGAACCCTATAGCAAGAGGTCTTACTCGGGATACGCCGCAGCTTTTTCAATGAGACTTGCTACACCCGTTGACGCGAGTGGATTCTCGTCCATCGTGTGTCTCTTCGTCTCTCTTTGATAATTAGACAGAGGGCGGGTGCACGCCTTGCCGACTCGCTCTCGCGGGTTCGTCGCCTCCTCGCAATCCACGACGCCCGCCGTGCTCTCGTCCGCCCGTCCTCCCCGGCGCCCCGAAACCGCGTTTAACGGCGTGGACGTCGATCGCGGTTTCGGGGCGTGGCACGCGGGTTACGGGAGACAGGCCTCGTGGAATTGTGCCGCCCTCCCCGCGCCACGGCGGAGGCGGGCGGGGTCGGGGAAAGACGTTTTTGAGGAACCGTTTTGTACCCGTTTGGACCCCCCGCGGCGATTAGTGGTATTAGTAATATAGATGTAGGACATATGAAAAGAAACATTTATTCCATATATAATGCAAACACAAACAGTTTGTTCAACCACTGTTGAAAATAGATTTATAACATACATGTGCCTTTCTAAGGAGTTATTTACCTTAGTTCAAAACAAAAAAAGCAAAGTGTGGGACATTTGATATTTTTCAAAATGTTATGGCATTAAACTTGTAGAAAAACAAGTTCAGGAATCAATACATCAACCTTGAAGTTTTAAGTGAACTGATAAAAAAATAAAGAAGAAAAATTGTTTTAACGGTTTGTTACAATCAGTGGGTCACTTCCTGTCACACATCCTATCCTAATTACACCAGACTGGTTGTCAAGAAAACATGTTTACTGTCCTCAAATAACACAAGACATTTTGCCGCTTCAAAATCTCATTAACGATTACTAAACGATTACAATCCTCCGGTCATCAGCTTTCCATATCACTTCTGTAAAGGATGTATTCTTTGCTGAAAGCTACTTGACCCTCAGTCATCACACTTAACAATTAAAAAGGCATTGAAAAGCATAAACAGGAAGGTCCACTTCATCCAGTCAGGTCAGACTGATCTAGCTAGACTGTCTGTATACAAAGGAAGGGGGTTAAGATCACTTGAGGACTCACTTTAAGTAGATAACAAGGATATGATGACACCAACTTTGGAACAATTTTGTTTGTCCTCCCATAATCAAATACTTCCCACTCTCACCATGAGACGATAGATAGAAAATCAGTCATCCTAAGAGATTACACACACACACACACACAAGAGAACAATGTATGAAGAATTTGATATCGTAAGATATGTTCTTTCAACTAATACTTTTATCGATAATATGCATGTCCTGTATTGTTTGAAAAGCGTGGTATATTGTACAGTAGTTGGTATGCCAATTGTCTTGGTGTGTTATTCAAATCTTTGTACACAACTTATAGTTGGATGATTTGTCTCCTACGTGGCCAATAATTGTGTCATCTTCACCCCTCAGGGGTACATACCTGCACCTATCAAAGCATTGTCTTATACAGCAGGGGGTTGTTTTGCACACCATGTTTACTCCCCGAGATGGAATGTCAATTAACCTTTATACAAGGCAAGTTGCCTACTTTGTATATTGTGGGATAGTGTCTACAGAAGTGTCATCTAAATTCCCTTTACACAAATAATAACGACAGCTAAAACAGAGGACATGAGAAGGTGGTTTTGCCTCCTGAGCTATATACCAAAATACATTAGTAAAAAGCAGATTTCAAACCCATGCTCTTTGAATACTAACTCTCCCCAAAATGTGGGCCTAGGAGTCTGTAGAAAATGTGTGCTACTTGAAAGCAAATTGTATCCATGGAGTTCATTAAAATGGAAGGACAGGTCTAGTCATGCAGTAGACAGAGATTTGACATTGTCCCAGACAACTTGAGTATCAACAGACAGCAACATGTGTTCAAAAAAGATTAACACTAAAACTAAAGAGTAGATTAGAGACGGTTGGGGAGCTGAGAACCTGACCCAGACAAAAGTTTACCCCAAGGATTATGGCAAATAGAACAGGGTTTTTTAAACTTCAAAACAAAAACACTGCTTCACTGACAAAAATACAAACACAATCATTCCTAGCCCTTACAGAAATTTGAAAATGACTGTAGAAAGTGATAAATGAAGTCTGAAGACCTGTTTTAGATATACATTTAAAGTTCCTTCCAATAAAAATACTTGGTATCAAAAAAATTACACACAGCCCATTTCTAAATATATCATAATATTTTGTTTGGGCTATTTTAAACCTGTGCTGCATAACAGTCTTGTTTTGAGATATGTGCTACATAAATCTGAAGTATCATTTTATAATTATCATTACAATTGTTATTCTCCTCTCTTTGTAGATAAAATCTGGAACTCTGTACTGGCCTCCTGAAGCCAAGGAGAAGGATGTCTGCCCTTATAACCCATACCTTTCAGGAAACACAGATTGCGAAGGAAAATATTCCAGTTGTATCAGGTCTTCAGACGGTACCTGCAACTGGATGGAGACGAGACAGCTCAAACACTGTAAGAGGAAAATAGAGAGTTCAGTATTCTTATAACTCTACAAAGAGCAGTACCTGACTCTAAAGAGGCTTCCAGAACTGACCTTAAAGATTGCTTTAGCAATGTGGAAGGAGTATGGGGTGCACTGCTAGAGACATGGGCAAGTGGAGAGCAGATGAACTGTCCAAACTGTGCAGTTTCCCATTGTTCTCTCTTGGAGCAGTCGCCACAATGAAAGAATTGCTTGGAGAAACTTCCTAGAGCTCTGCAATGGAACATTTTGTGCAGAAGCTCTGGATTCCTTCCATCTGAAGAGTCTAAGTTCACTCACTCTCTCTATGATGCAGCCTTTGACTACAACGAGAGCTGCATATGGAGGATTTGTCTTGTGGCAGTTGTCTTGATGTTAGTCCATGGCTTACAGGATGTCGGACGTACATCCCTTGATAGAACCTTCTACAACCTATAGATGTGAGCTGTTTGGTGGAACACTTTGGAGGACTGTCCCTCATGTGTTCACTCTATTAATATCAAAGGATACTGGTGTGGTCAGCTTAAGAAACACAGGTTTTAATGTGGACATGGGTCAAGTATTGGTATTCACATAAACTTCACAACTGTGTTTACAGTCTGGTCCAGTAATCAAGGAAATTTGAAGTTCTTCACAAAAAAAAAGTTCTGTGCCTGAAACAGACATTGAGATATATTCATTCAAAAGCTTGTAGTTACTGCTTTGAAACTATGAGCGAGATATTCCGTGATTTGAAGCTGGACTTAGACGGGTGATTTGGGATCATGTGCCCAAGAAAAAATATAAGATGTACTATTTAAGCTATAAATCATGTATGTTTTAAGCTACTAATGGTGGTGATGGCCAAGATAGAAAGTTGAAAAAATAGAGATCTCAGAAGTCTCAGGAAAACCTGACTTGCATATTGAAGTTGATGACATCTAAAACTTTGATAATTTTTGTTATACCGCAGTATTATAATGCAAGTACATCTTGAGATTTAAAAAAAAAAGAGGTTTATCATACAAATAGAAATGAAATTTGATAAATACTTCCAACTGTGTATGCAATTTTGAAATATGAATTATTCAAAGTATTATATCAAATTATGTATGATCAATAGATTATTTATTATTGAACAAGGTTTAAATGATGGGTTGTGTTACTCTCCCCTCCTACCTATATATATGTATATTTATATATATATATACATATACTATTCTTAAATGTTATGTAGTTTGTTGATGTGTTAAATGTTCATTTAGGATTCATTATTATGGAACTGTTATGAAGACACCCATGCTTCAAAGGCTTGTCCATGCAGACATGCTGTAGTAAACTTTGGCCTTTTTTATAAGGTGCAAAATGTCCAACGTGCATATCCTGAGTTCTGTTATATAGGATACAGAGATGTACAACATATTAACAATTATTTAAAAGTCGCCGCATTTGTTTCCACAGCATATCTCAATAAGGCTTACAGGTTGTTTTTTAAAGTCATTTTGTTTGTGGGATCATGGAAGGAGAAAAAAGCAGTACATTTTTGGTATACATTCAGATGTTGAGTTCAATATAGAAGTAAACTCTTCATATTTAATGGCTAAAAAGCATCACAACGGATACCAAAGGATAAAAATGAAGAGATATGAAGACATTGGTCGGGTGAGGTGTACTATTCTATGCATAAGATTCCATTGTCTTTAAGTCTTGTACTTAGAATTTTTGCACTATATCTTTGCCATGATTGAAGTGATTTCAGCTCCTGAGCTGCTGATGTCCATGCCAATTTATGCCTGCATGAAAGATGTGATTAGCTGGAAGAGATAAGGTCATCATTGTCTCACAGGTGTCATCTCTTAAGGTTCAAGATGCAAGCCCAGCTAGGTCAGCTGCGGTCGCGATGTATCATCGTGTCTGTCCACGGACTCGTTGTTCTTCTGATGGTCCCTATGTCCATGTGAGCCTTCCTACTCAATCATTAAGTAGGAGTGTGAATCAAACCACTGAGGCTGAAATAGTGCATGCTCATCATTTGGCTGGTCCAGCAAAAAAAGATATTTAACTTGTCAATACTTATTCCAAGTCCGAGGTCAAGATGACTATCTGTCATGTTTTCATCTAAACATAAAACCTACAAAGCATTATAATCATGTCATATATTTCATGATGTCTATCTGTACGGATGTACTTCTTAAACTGTAATCAAATTCATAAAACGATATGGGTGCTGAATCAACCAAATCTAAATTGACATACGTTTCTGTAATCTTCATTTTAAGGGGAACAAACCGATTGCCTGTATTAATCCTCAGTTCTCTGATTGTTTTGTTGGTTTAGCGCCAAGGCAACAATTTGTTCTCTTAAAAACAGTCAAGTCACTGTGATTTCTACATCCATTTCAATATCCTTTATACATCCTTGTTGACTGCAGACCCTTAAAGTAAAGGCTATATACTTTTGTCAATGACCATGCATTATATGCATTAAGCAAGGACCTAATGATCTAATACATGCAGACAATTGGCTGGGATTGCAAAATTGTTATTCACATCTATTGCAACTTTCCGTTAATGGTTGCAATACATTGCTAGTGTTTTGAATGCTATAACACTTTGGAGTTTGAATCCAAACTGCATTTACATTACAAACTCAATGAAAATCATCGGGTAATCAAATGTCGAAGTGAAAACCTACTTTCCAATATGCTCCAGAAAACACTGCATTCTGGTATGAATGAGAAGCACTAATAGCCCCAAAACATGGATGGATTTTGAAAAATATACATAAAATATGTGCATGACTGAAATGTGTTAAGTGTACTTTTCATGAACTTTCATTTAATCTGCTAGTTATAATACTTGTAACTAAACTTTTCTTGGCTTACCAGGCAAAATCCTTTTCACTTGGTTTCATCCTTTCTGCAGCGTGACACCAAATGCTTGTTCGCTTCTCAAAATAGCAACAGGATTTGGTTAGAGTTAAACAAATTGGACCCTTTTGGCAAATATTTCTTAAAATAGAACTATCAATTAAGCTAGACCTCTTCCCTTCCCTCTTCCATTTGACTTTACAGGCTCTCTCAGCTATTTTCTAAATTTGTGATGTCATCACTTTCCTGGCAGTTCCTCCTATACCGATCATCAAAGACCAACATTCAAATAAGAACACTCCTTTAGGCCTTGTTCCCTCTAACATGGCGAACCATGCAATGTCCCTGTGGTAGACATTTTATCTGGTGAGAGACAGAAGGGCATTCACTCTGAATTAAAGTATTGGAGCTTACACCCTTCTGGCTCTCAGCATTCAGACTTCTAAATAGGAATGAGAATAGCCCTCTTAACTTAAGAAGATGCAGTGTTGTTTTATTTTCTGTAGATCGATTTTCTAACTTGATTTACCATGTTATGTCGGGACAAGCTCTAACCTAGCCTACTCCCTTTCTCAACCATCCATGGACCTTTCTCCACTCCATGCGAGTTTCGAGTTGGAAGATCTGTCAACTTGATACTTCCTGCTAAGTTCTGTTAGCTTGCAGCATCATTCCTGACATAGATCCAAACTTAGATTCCTTCCCCTTCCCTTGAGATCGGGCCGAATCTCGACTCCTTATTCTCCTGTGACCCTGACTCATCCACTGTAAATACTGATCCAATTATTTATTGAAATATATACTTTAGAAAAAAGAAGAAATACCCCTGTGCCCTAATTTTGGCAACACTGTTTTATGATTATGTTCCCTCTTTCTTAAAACTCGTTTGGTCTCTCCTTTTTCTTTCTTTAACTTAAATCCTGAACCGAACCCTTTTCCTCCTTTGGCATCCTTGTAACCCTGAACTCTTTTCCTTCTGTAACATCCTCAGTGCAGGAGAATGGGAAAGATATTTTCTAGATGTGATCCTCAGATTTCTGTAACTTTCTACATCACGGTACTGTTAGGGTATGAATAGACAACTCTTAAAAGAATTGCATAAATGAAGTATCCATTTCTATGACTAATCATCATAGCTGGTTCTTGGGGAAAATCCTGAACAATTTGATGTATTCTTTTGGTTGACATGAGTCATATCATCTATTCCTATCACCCTCTCTGAACACAATGTACCATATCACCATTCTCTATGTCATTAGCATAAAGTTGTTTAAGTAACTACTGTAAGCTAGATACAACTAGGAGTAAACCCACTGGAAATGCCTGTAAAATTGAACATGAAATTATCTCCAAGGCTCCAGCTACAATATTTCACCATCTTAAAAGTTTTAACCATAAATCAGCTGATTCAGTTTGGGAAGCTGATATTATTAAGACATGAAAGCCACAAGTATGTAATAAATGAAGAAAAAAAATCATGAATGACTTCCTTGACATTTCACCATGTCAGTGCTGCAGATTGTGTACTATGTAAATCAGCAGTGATATTTAAGCCCTGTGGTAACCTAAGTCATAATGTACAGTAAAGCTCTAGAAACAAAAAACAGCATGTTTTGGACTAGTTCTAAAAATGACAAAGGTGTGGTATAGGATCCCAAAAGCGGACAGAAGAACCGCCCTTAATATGGAAACAACGGCTTTACCCAAAATCCTTTCATCCCAAACATCAGGCTGTTAATTATTTGCCTTTTCACAACTCCCTCTATCTTGCGATTCAGTAATGAGGGCTGTCTCGCCGGGAGGGGGGAAATTAGAGAGTAATTCTTCTAATCAATTGCATCCTGTGATGAACTTTTATAACGAAGAATGTCAGATTAGGCACATCTCCTGGACGAAATGGAACCCAACACTTCCTCGACACCTCAATACTCAGGCTCATGAGAATAAAAGCCAGGGGAAATGAATATCTTTGTTCTGTTGTTGCTTCATATTCAGTAAAAATGGTGTATACTATATTTGCATTTAGTATGGTTAACATGTAAGCATTACGCTTTAACTGCCAATCTCTTATGGTAATTGACATTTATACAAATCCATTTTGTAAAACTATAATTTTCTTCAAATTAAAGCATATACAGGGCTTCTAATTATATTATCATGACCATTATACCATTCTTAAACCCTAGGACGATTTGTTTTCCTAACTGATTACTCAAGTCATTACTTCAATGTTTTTTCCAGTCACAAAGTGTTCCTGTGCAGTGAAAAACTGCAGAGTAAAATATGTAAACTGGGAAATTCACCTCAATCCAGCCAGCCATCCATCAACTAAAATATATATTTATGACTTCATTACAATTCACCTATTCCAAAATAATACATACAAGATAAAGTGCTTCAAGGATAATTAACACTGCACAGGTGTAGACTATGTCGGGATAAAGGGTTATACACAAAGCATCATTCAAAGATTCACCTCTACTTTAGAATCGGAATGACTTTGTATTTTGTGGATAGACTTGACTGCTTGTCTCTCACCACCTGTTGTGTGGAGAAGAATAGGTGAAGACTCCAAGGTGAAGGGGAGGGGGAGAGGAGAGGAGAGAGGGGGAGGGGGATGAGGGAGCTCTTTGTGAAGTTTAAGGGCAATGAGTTGAATAATGATTTGCCAAAAGTTCTTACCAGACATTGTACCTGGCTTTGGTTGCCTTGTAGCGAGCGAGACAGAGAGAGAGAGAGAGAGACAGAGAGAGTGAGAGAAAGGGGGAAAGACAATTCTAGAGGATTTATAACATTTACAATCCAAGAGGGACCAGTTGAGACTTTGGTTAGAAGTGCAGTGTCATGTGCTAACAGACAGACGACGGACCCCTTCACATCTGAGAATACAATCTTGTTGATAAACTAGTGAGATGATGCTATACTCTCACTCTCACTGTATAAATATGTTCAGATATTCCAACCAGCGTTATGGAATTCAAGTTTATCAAATCAATATTAATAAATAATAAATGTGCTTAAAAGCTAAGAGATATTGGCCTTGGGAATTTTTTTTGGTAAATTGAATAATTATGTTAGGTTCATTATGTGCAAGGAACTTTTAATGGTATTTTTCTAGACAAGAAAACCATAATTACATATTTGTGTATTTTATCAAGTAATTTTTCATGCTTGGAAGAATAATATACATGCTCAGTTCTGTGATGCTCTATGCACAGTGAAATACTTTCTGCAAGAGAAATTGCCAGTGACATACTTATTGAAATGCATTATTCAAATTTTACTATGATTCATTTACGAAATATTAAAATGTTCTTAATTTATTTATATTCATTATGAAATCATTTGTAAATCCTTCACTAACTATTAATTTGATGACATGTGTTAAGTTCTAATCCTGGTTTGTATGACTTTTTATTTGAAGCTTGGTGAAAACAATTGAGTGTTAATAACAATATCACATTTGCAACCATTGCATATTTCAAAGCCACTGTATTTATTTCAAGGCTTGATTTTGACTAGACCGTGATAGATATTCTACATGTGTGCATATATTTTTGTAATATATGTTTCTCTTTTTCTTGTGTCAGATTCTATGCTTTTGTAAATAAAAGAACTATTATATTATATAAAATACTATATTTCACAAGAATTTTTGTGTAAAAGTACGAATTTGGCTGAAACTGTTTTGGGAAAGAGCTGTTTTGGGAAAGAGTGCAAAGGGATAGTTCAACATATAGTTTTTACAAGATATGCGCTATTCATGGACTGGAAGTAAAGAAAAATAGAAATATTTCTTACCTGTATGGACATCCGGCAGAATGAAGCATTCAAAGAAAGCAAGAATAAAAGAGATAGAGACAGAAAGAAAAGGGAGAGATAGAGTGTGAGAGAGAGAGAGATTTAGAGATAGAGAGAAAGATTTAGAGATTGAGAGAGAGAGAAAGAGAGAGAGAGAGAGAGATATATAAAATGGAGAGAAAAAAATATTACAACATAACAAATAAACAGTATTTTTAAGGTATAGGTGCATCATAATTCTCTTACAGAATATTCATTTATTCAGTGAAAGAATTTGTTTCTTTTT